GCAACCTAAGCCCCGGGACTTGGAGTGACGAACCACATGAGGCCCCGATAGGTTAGGCGTGGAATTGAACCGGACGACAGTGGAGCTGTCTGTCACTGATACCGCATCAATTCCCCCAATATCAAGATCTGGCAATTCCGCAGTTTAAAAGGATCCCAACTACAAAATGAAAAGCGATAACCCTTATGGAATTTATTCAATGCACCCCAGATTTACAGTGTAATCGAGAGTTCCGGGAATAGATTCCTCAAGATATAGATCTTTACTTAACACACAGTTTTCATCAACGACCCAAGGGAAGAGGATTGTCCTTGTTCGATCAGAGACGACGAGAGAGAGATACGGTACGAATGTTGTATGACCTGCATGTTGAAATCCCGTGCCCACAATAACGATAAATTACCATATGAAAAATTAAAACGCATTTGTTGGAACAAATACGTTGCTGTTATGCTTCTCCTATTTCACTGTAACTGTTTGATCCCCATATCTCCATAATCTGCAGTCCAATCCCCCCCCCTATCTTCTGTTACCATTGATGTTGTGTTGGCACCATGCTTGTTCACAACTCAACAGTGGTCGTACCAGAGTAAACCGCGCAACAGGCTAACTAAACCAGGTTGAAGGCAGTTAAGACTCCTCAACGCATTTGCGTGAGACAGTGAACTGTGCAACCTCACAAAAAGCGGAATGGAGATGGGGGACGCCAGTGGGTATTGCATTCCCGTGATTCTGTTTTGAACAACGGACGTGAAACGACCAAGCCTAAATTTGATCCATGAAGTCCAGCTATAGTTCACTGTATGCAACCACCGTGCCACCAACCGCCAACAGAGAAAACTGTTATCCGAGAGAGTCAAGAAACTAATTGGCTCGCTGGCAAACGATAGTGGTGTGTTCGTGCCCCAGAGCTAAGCTCAAACTAACCCCGGAATTCCTAAGGATAGAGAGTAGACAAATACTGCGAGATGTTAACATTTCTTTCCATCTCCTCAGTAGCAACAACGGGAAATAATCTGGTATTTTATAAGGGAATTTGCCGTGCGCGTATAGAGCAAATCAACTGAAAAGCTGAGAAGCACTGTACAGCTGTTTCGACCTGGCTGGGTTTCATCTCCAGTGCGAATCCATCGACCGAACTGGTAATCGAACCCGGAACTTCACAGGCAGAATGCAGGCATGCTACCCACCCGGACACCGGGTAGCTCATCAGACGGTTTTTCGTCTTCCACTTACAAGAGGACTTTCATAACTAACCTGGTTTAACGGACTACAGTCAATGGAGGGGAGGGAGAAATCAGTTCCAGAATCCGACCCAGGCTTTGATGCACACAAAATCGGATCGCGTAAATTGATTGAATTAGCTTCACTGAAAGCTAAGGGTCCAGGATTCACGTTATGTGACGATATCTCGAACGGAAAAAGTGGGCTAACCAGGTGTCCAGTTGTTATGAGATTTTTTGCGACTGCTGACGTTCGATTGCACTTTTCAAATTGACCTCTGACATCGTACTGTCACAGACTGTAACGACCATTTAAGAACGTTGATTGATTTGAGTGCCTATTCTTCAGACCTCACCTTCACGCGTAATCCTCAGTTCAACGATTCAACCATACACTTGGAAGCTCGGGACGGTGGATACGCACTACTGATGACCTCTAAGAAGAGTGAAACTCGAGACTGGTGCTTCTGAGTGTATGGTTGAATTGATGAACTGAGGATTATGCGTGAAGGTGAAGTCCGAGGGATAGTCAGTCAAATCAATCAATATCAATTATCCCACACACTACTCACAAGTAACTGTGAGTCAAATGCAAATGTAAGAATGTGTTCGAACATCAATTGTGACAGGGGCTATATTGGATAGAGAAATGGGCGATTGGCTCCATTTTCGATGCTGTGCGGCTTCGAACGTACGTCGTACATTAGATGATATCCCTTGAAGGATGATCTCAGGGAGGTGCACCTCTTTGGCACTACGCAGACAGGATCAACCGGTGGCCTTCGTTCGCTATGCACATCAATGAATTTCTTTGGATAACCACTATCCAGGAACGTACTGCGTAGAAATGAATCCTCTTTGTGAATACGTGGAGTATTATCTGAACAGCCTGAATAATAAATACAATGGCGGAAATACAATTACAGGAATTTAGTAACAGGCAGGATTTCAATAGCACGCACTGAGAATAGTGAGTTCTAAACATTATATGCTTCGAATGTCTGAATCTCGAAAGTTATACCCATCAACACAGAATGAATTCCTTGAGTCAGATCCAAAGAACAATTGTATGCATGAACTAGATAAACAAGAATTGGCTTACGAAACACTTACCAAGTATTTACATAGAGCATATTTCGCGGAAATCTGCCCTTGTCGTATTCGCTCAATGGTGTATGACGACCGTTAGTGGTGTAGGAAATTCGAATGAGTATCGGACAAGTTTTCTCACGATCCACTCCACTGGTGGGAACAGGCACTGGTGCGGGCCGTAAGCTGTCCATGTCCCGGGAGTGAATTTGACGACGTAAACCACGCCCGCTACCGCCACCACCACCACCACCACCGGTATTATCAAAACCGGATCCGGAAACTGTAGAATCTAACGGATCGGAATTCAATGTCAGATCTGGACGGCGAACAATGATTCTCCTCGTTTCCCCATCCTCTTCCAGATTGTGCGGATTCACGTCAAGCGCACGGGGTCTGGCCAAATGCACCGCGGACGCCAGGATTGGGGAACGACTGCGGCTTCGTGCAGATGGAGCCCCACGGCGAGTGGACGGGGTATCTTGGGTCAAGTCATCACCCGGTAAAAGTGACTTGGACATACGAGACAATGGTGAAACAGGCCGAACTAGACTACGCAAGGTGCTGATACGACCGGTACCGTTCTCCATTTTTTTTAGTTAATACAAAGGGCTGAAAAGGAAGACAATTCAGATTAATCCATGCAACACTGGGCGAGACATTTTCCCGTACTATCTTTCCACGATGGAACCAAATTTGGGCCACTGTCGGGTAGGGAAAACATCTGCCGTTCGGGAGCCGTCTATCCTCGTCCTCCGTTACATCTCCATGCGGCGAACGGTTGGATTAGAGAATTTCCGACCAGTTGGATGAAATTCACTGCATAAGAATTCCATTCCATAAAAAACCCGGTTGATCAATAGAGAGGCAATGGTTCTCACTGTAAAAAAGCTCCCAAAGAATGCGTCTATTGAGCAATGACCTGGTGAAGTGCTACTCATTGTCTGTTAATTGCGAGTGTACAAGCCAAAGTTAGAGGGTCAAAGGCAATAAGCGGAGCCGTAGTCGAGTTGGAGACAGAATCAAGGAGAGCTGGAAAAGCCTGAGACAAGCCATCAAAGAAGAGGCCTGTAAGTTGACTGCAGGATATTCTGGTGGCAATAACCGCCGAACAGACCGGGCAGCTTTAGTGCACTTACGGATTGGACACCAGCCCTCAATGGACGGCGGTTTTCACGTACAGCCCCGCTAGCTTAACGACCAGATTCTGATTAGTCG